AATCAAATCATGTGAAGAGAACACGACCTTAATCCTAAATAAACTATACCCTGCATCTAGATTTAATCTTCTTGTTTTTTCTTTTTCTCCGTCCGCATTTAATATTCTTATTTCTCATATACATGCATTTGGACAAAGATGCCCTCCTTTTTTCGTTCGAATTTAATCTTCCCATTTCTCATGTTTAGCAATTATTTTAGTAAGGATTTTTTGGACAAATTCACCCCATGGTCAACCTCTCTTAAAATGAGAAAAAGTCAAAAGGAGAAGATTAAATCGGGATGGAGGGAATAAATTGCCCACATTATATTTTATAATTGAGATTTATTCCATTACGTCGAATTGAATCATGACGTATAATAAAAGAACAAAACAATGAAATGAAAGGAAAAACGCTGGGGAGAAGTCCTCTCTAGGGTTTGACCGTATTGACAAAAAAAATATGGTTGAAATCAAAGTACCCACAAGCCAGGCTTTTATAGCTGAAAATCCGTAAAACAAATTGGAAACCCTAAAACGACAAAAATAGGCCCAAACTAAGAAAAGTGCGAATTTAATGGGCTAGATAGAGGATTTTGGGGTCGAAGATAGAACCCGATGAGCATTCGACCAATTGGGCCCTGTGCATATTGCCGAGACCTTTCCAAACAGGATTATGCCCCAAATAGTGCAACGACGACCCAAAATGCTTCAATTTCTTCTCGCCCTTGCCCTTATCTTGTTTTTCATGGTAAAAAAGCGCCAAATTAGTCGAATCTCACAGTTTTGCCTCGTCCAAATCTCTTGCTCCTGCATCATTCCCTTAGTAGTGTTTCGTAAAAATGTCTATCAAATGATTATTTTATGTAGTGTATTTTGATTTTTTTCATTATCTTAACTATGAAGAAGTCTCAAAGTAGTCTTATCTAATACTATGTTTTACCAAATTAGTAAATCTCTCCTTTGAGGTTCTATTATCAATCACCCAATTTACAAAGGAAAAAATCTCAATTATAAAGTATTATGTATGCAAATATTGTGTATTGAAGATTATCGAAGAAAAATATATCAAATCTGAAGTACCATATATGTAATTATTGTTTATTGAGGATTGATTTGAAAAAATGCATTATTAGAAAAAATCATTTTAAAAAATCACTCTTTTAAAATATTATATTTTTATAATATATATTTATATATAAATAGAGATATTTATATTTTTTGAACTGATACTCCATCACTGAGGATGATTGGGTTAACTTGAACAATGACTCGACATAATTCTCATAGTAATTGGGATCAAAATGTTGTTGTACTGCCACTAGAAATTTTGTCCTCGTCACGCCACAATTATTTGCTCTAAAATAGTGAATCGATCTGAGGTCAGATGATCAATCAACATGGCCGCAAGATGTAACCGTCCCGGTTCGAACGTGAGGAAATAGTTAAAATATTTTTGTATACGAAAAATCCAACCTATGAGATCAACAACGTAGAATCTAGGGGGGGCGACGCGCATGCGCGAGAACGAATCAATAGTGGAGGATGTAGTGAGCAAGGGCGGAGGCCGCCGGCCAGCCCATATACGGCAGACGATAGTTGGTGTGTACGTTGTCATGTTTTGGCGTGGCTAGCTCAGTAACACGGAATTTTGTGGCATGGGGATCCTTCTGAGTGTTAAAACCGGAGGAGTAGTATCGGTGGAGGCCATGAGAAGAAGAATGAAAGTACCGATTGATACGCTCTTAGTCGCGAGCGACGACTGGTGGGGTTGAAAATGGGGATCGGTGAAGAGACGAAGGAAGAGGAGACTAGGATTTTGGAGAGAAAATATTAGGGAGAGGGAAGATATTTTATTATTATGATGATGATAGCATAAACTGCATCCTTAAATAGAAGTGTTTCTCCAATACTACTAGAGCTAATAGTCTACCCTGTCGGTTTAAGAAAAATATCGAGGTTAAGAATCGAAAGGAAACCGCCAAAGAACCTTATAATTTGCTCACCTAATAAAATCTACTTCCCCTCTCTCTCTCTGAGTATTTTTGTCCACTTTTGACTTTTTTGTCAAAATTGGTAAACTTTGACCTCAAATTAAATAAAAATGATATTAAATATTAATATAAAAATAGTCTTATTAGATTTATTATATCAAATATTTTCAAATTATTGTTTTATCTAATTAATATCCAATATATATTTTTATTTAATTTTAGGTCAAAAGTTGAAAATAGTTGCCGAAAAAAGTCAAAATTAGACAAATACTCAGGGATGAAGGTAGTACGTCACAAAATAATAATGTTACTCAATAAATACTAAACATAATCTTGGTATCTTCGGGGTGGACGGATGACCCCTTTCAGTCGTCCCGGCACCGCTGGCGTAAGCGAAACCCCAACACCATCCCGGACAGCCTAGACTTGCTTTGTATTAGACTGTCACCCTCGTCGATGATCACCTGCCGCCGACTGCCACCAGGCACCCACTATTTCCGATCATCTACCACTGGCCACCTATCGTCACCTGTCGCCTATTGTTGATCACCTCTCCTTCCCAACTACCCACCATTGTTGGTGTTGAAATATTGGAATAATAATATTGCTCCTTGAATTATGAATTACTATACATGATAGAGTATATACAGGAGACACTTCTAACACAACTAGAAATAGAGAATGAAAAATAACTAAAACATAATATCTACCTTAAATAAGAATAAGAAGTTGACTAATAATCAAACACTACTATAACTAACTCTACCTGAAGTTATATTAGTATTATTGTCTAACAGTTGGCTACCTGTCGTTGTCGGGCACATTTACATTCGCCGCTCGCCACCCTCTCCACTTACCACTGGCTGCCCACTGTTTTTTAGTTATCTATCGCTAGCCACCCATCGTCGCCTGATACCCATTGTCGACCACCCCTTGCTAGCCACCCACCATTGCTGGCCACCTGTCGTTTTCAACCACTCCTGCCGCTAGCTGCCTTCACCGGGCATCTCCCGTCTGTTACAAATGACTATCAATTCAAGTTTCTCGAATCAATTTTTCTCATGTATCGGAATTTTAAAATGCATATCATATCAACCTTTCAAAACTCATCAAGCAATTCCAAAGTTCCACCCAAACCCAAGTGTAATAGTAATGAAAAGGTCGGAGTTTGACGGCTCTAACCAAAGCTAACTAGCTAGGCTAATATGAAACCAAGAAGATGAAAACAAATGTAACTTTGAACTTTGAGCATTCATTCATGTATAGAAAATGTGAGATATAAATGAAGTGGGATCCTCCGGCATATAATATAAGCGTGGGCCAAGTGGTGCGCCACGCCCCTTAATTGAGTTAATCAAATCCCTCCCCTTTGCCACAAATCCTTCATACACCCCCACCTTCGAACAATATTCTCAAACAACACGTTTATTGTTTCCCCCCGCTCCAAAACTCACTTTTAATAGCTCTTTTTTAGCAATTACTACCTCCGTTCCAATGTATTTGTCCAGTTTGACTTTTTCGAGTCAATCTAAACCAATTTTGAACTCCAATTACTCTCAATTTATATTGCATATTAGCATAATGAAATACAATTTTGAAAATTCTCAATACGATAAATCCAATAAATTCATTTTTATATTAAAATGCATTACGGTTTTTATTTAATTGAAGTTCAAAGTTTGTCAAGTTTGACTCGAAAAAGTCAAACTGGACAAATACACTGGGACAGAGGGAATAATACATTTATTATTATTATTATTATTATTATTATTATTATTATTATTCTTATTATTATTATTATTATTATTATTATTATTATTATTATTATTATTATTATTATTATTATTATTATTATTATTATTATTATTATTATTATTATTACTCCCTACACCCTTAAATTATCGTCTCACTTTGAGCAACATACACAATTTTATCTTTTTTAAAATTATTTTATTTTCAAAATGGTGTAAAAATATACTATAAAATTTACATAATTAAAAACTACATCAAAAGTTTACAAAACAAGAAGTAATAATAATATTTGATTTAATCAAATGATCAACAAAAACATGTAAATAAACAAAAGCACTTGAGAAGTCAGAATAGTAAATGTGACGATCATTCTAAGATGGAGGGAGTATTATTGTTGTTGTTGATGATGTTGTTCTTGTTGAACGTTGTACTCCCATTGTTCTTAAATAAATCCAACATTAAACATTTTCATATTGTTCATGCATTTAAATTTGATTATTTGTGACGAACACCATCCTAAAGTGAACGGCCCTCTTAGACCTGGCTCGGATAGTTAGGCCCCGTTTGGCATCAGCGGTAGAGATTAGCGTCAGTGTTTTGAAAAGGCTATCCGACGGTAGCTTTTAGCATTAGTGTTTTCAGAATTAATCTACACCATTAAAATTTTATCCAAAACGCTAACGCTAATCGAAAACGTTGTTCCCAAACAAGGCCTTAATCATACTAAACATACATTTAAATGTGATTATTTTGGGATTAATCACATCCTAAGGTAGTAAGGTAAAGGATTTTCTTACACCTGACTTGGTTTCTAGTAGCCACACTAAAGACCAGAAGTTGATGAATATCAACAAAAAAGAAAAACAAAACATCGCATAATCTAAAACTCCCTCCCTCCGTTCACTATTCACATGGTCAAACTTCATTCACTTTCTTTCTCTATTTTCGTTAGCAATTTGATAAAATAAAATATTATTGTCACTACTAATTTTGTAGATCTTTTGATGTAGTATTTTAATATGTAATTTTTATTATTTAAGTATATACCATTTGTCATATAAAATGATTTAAAAATAATTTCAGTTAAACATCGTAAACCGAAACCGACATTATAAAATGGGACGAAGGGAGTAATAATAAGGAGTAATATGGAGTATTATTATTAGGTGTACGAGTAAATCTCTTCTCGCCTCCGCATTAATAGGATCAGATCCGTTTTTTTTATTTTAACTTAATGGCTCCTCACTCTCAACGTCTCTATCTTCTACTCCTCATCGATTAATTCAAATAATTCCTCCTCCATAACACCCTCTCCTTTTCCCAGATTGCCCTCCTCCCTCCAGCGCACTGCCCAGGGCATTTTCGTAAACTGACAAAACCAGCCGGTTTTTTCGTCTATTCTGCCGCCAAGTATTCAGTTGTTCTGTTTCTCCTCTCTCCCCCACCTCCTTCTCTGATCAGTTCCTCTCATTTCAAAACCCCCTTTTCCTCTGTTTTTTTATTTCTTTATTTTCAGTAATTGGTAACTGCTTCTGCTTAACAATGGAGTTTGACAAGTCTTTCAAGCCTAGGAAGCCGAAAACCAGGGAAGTCAGTTCAAGATTCCGGTCGCCGGCGGGGTGTAATTCTACTTCCGGCGGGAATTACAGTCAGGTTAACCCAATGCCGTGTCAGAGTCAGATTCTTTCCCCGTTGAAGCAGATGCCCAGATCGTCGAAGGGGATGGAGAAATCTGGGTTCATGAAGAAGCTCTGGCCGTCGTCTTTCACGGCGTCGCAGAATTCGAGCTTGAAGGTTAGGGATTTGGCCGGTCGACGGGAAGAGGAAGAAGAGGATGATGGGAGTAATTATCCGGCGGTTCTTAGCCGGCAGATGAGTTGCTTGGAGTTTAGCAGGTTCGCCGGAGAAGGCGCCGCTGCGGCGAAGGAAAATCAGAGGCCCCTGTTCGGTGGGTCGGTGCGGTACACCGGGAAATTCGCGACGCCGGCGAGATCTTCCACTTCTCCTTCGTCTTCGTCTTCCTCCTCCTCGAACTTCTCCAACTTGCTTGAAGATTACTCCGATTACAGAAAAAGGTCGGATTTTTTATCCGATTTGGAGTCGGAGGACAGCGAGGTTCTATCCAGCAACAGCTTCACCTCCCCCGCGGTGGTCGGGAAGAACAGCAACTTCACGCCGTCGTACATGGCGCCCACCGTCAGTTCGAAAAAATCCGCCGGAATCGAAGTCTCGTCGAAGTACTTGCAAGACCCGCCGTCGAGATCCCGGAGATGGAGCGCGGATTCCGGTGCCCAGAAAAACAGAGTGGAGAATTCTCCCAAAACGTCGGGTGCTTTGAAAAGGTCAAGTTCCGTTAAACCGGCGTCTCCGTCTCTCCGGAGATCAAACTCGGCGGCGATCACGCCGGAGAGCAGAGGAAAACTGTTAGGATTTCAGAGTTCGATGCCGCCAACCAACCCTTCAAGAGTGAAAGGAGTTGGGAGTTTCTTTAGTATGGGGCTGGAATTGCTAAAGGTCAAGAAATCGTCGTCTTCTTCTTCTAATAAGGCTGCCGCGGCGGCGTCTTCTTCGTCGGCGGAGGCGGAGAATATTCACCGCCTGCGAATGCTGCATAACCGGTTGATGCAGTGGAGATACGTTAACGGCAAATCTGACGCCGTTAATGAGAAGATTAACAAAGAGGCTCAGGTTAGTTTTGCATTTTTCTTTCTACTTCATGGGTACATCAATAAAAAAATTAAAAATTACACATTAAAAAGTATGTCAAAACTTTTACAAGATAAGAGATATAAAGATATTTTATTTTATCAAATAATCAATGAAAATATACAAATAAATAAAAGTTATCAAAAAGAGAGAGATTATAAAATTGTAATCAAAATTGGGTCGGAGTGATTACTATTTTTTTTATTTTCATATTTTCATTGAATAGTATATTAAAACTAAATCTTTTTGTCATCTCTTGTAGAATTTTTTATGTAATTTTTAATTATATAAAATTTTGTTTTTAAATTTTTGCACCAATAATTAAATAAATTTAATGGAAATTTATTTAATGAAGGGACTAACTATTTTCAGTTAAATTTAGCAATTTTCAATTAAAATTTGAATGTAAATTTGAGTTTAGTTTAGTATTATGACTTTGTGAGGAAATGAAATTGTGGGATTTTTGCAGAGGAAGTTGATATGTGCAGAGGAAGGCATAGCTAAATTAAGGCATTCTGTTATCCAAAAGAAGTTGCAATTGCAGAAGGAGAAATTGGACATGAAACTCACTTTTCTACTTCATTCTCAAGTGAGTCATTAACAGATTGATCCCCACACAATTTTTTTTAACATTTTTTTTATCCTGCATTAATTTTTGTACCAATTTTTTTTTTGGTTTGTTAATTTTGTGGTTTGGGTGAATTTTTCAGATGAAACAGCTTGAAGAATGGGGTGAAATGGAAACACAACACACATCATCCATCTGCATGACCAAAGAGTCATTAAACTCGGTTGTGTGCAATGTACCCATCATTCATGGGGCAAAGGTAATATTCATTATAACTAAAAAATATTATTATAATTATATACACTACAAATATAATGTGTTAATATTTGAATAATATTTTAAAAAAAGAAAAAAAGGACTAAATCATGTGGTTAATTAATAAGTGTGATGGAAATGATGCAGGTGGACATAGAATCAACCTCAATTGTTCTTCAAGATGCTTCAAATCTTGCTGCATCAATCGAATGGACGTTGTCTGCTTTCTCACCCGGGGTAAGCCACATATCACATTCTAATCAAATCTCCCCACTTGATTATAATGTTAGTCATTTTACAATTAGTATGTGGTTTGGCGCTTAGAACCAATGATAACGATCTTTACACCCGTTCCGTGGCAGAGTGGGTCACACTTGTCTTTGGTGGGCCCACTCCTAGTGGGTGAATGATTTCACCTCTTGAATTGTTTGTTAACTATTTTGATTCTAAAAGAAACATGGTTTTGTTTGATTATTAGGCCAATCAGGCAGCTGAAGTAATGAAAGAATTAGCAGAGGTTGTAACACAAGAGAAGCTGTTACTGGAAGAGTGTTTAGAGCTTTTCAAGACCACTTCTAGATTAGAGGTAATTCTTTGTGCATTCTAAAATATTTGATTTTTCATAATAGAATATTTAAGACAAAATTTAGAATAATGAGTTCATAAAGTCTTCAATTCAATTATGTTATTAACGTGTGTTTTTTACGATGACAGATTGAAGAGAGGAGTTTGAGGTGTAATTTGATACAGTTGAGATTGCAACAACAAGAAGAGTTTTGTTTATCGGCAATGTAATTAGTGCAACGTAGTTGGCTTAGATAGTCCGAAGTTGAGACATTTAGGAAATTAAGAGAATGATTTCTGGAAAATAAGTTATTTTTCTTGAAATCATTTTCCAATTTCTAGTTAGTAAACCATGTAAAATATTCACATTCTATATGGTTCATTTATTCTTTCATTAGTTAAAAGATCTATTATGAACTTTGTCCCACAATTGCAGAAACAAACCTTGAAGAAAAAAAACAGTTGTAAATACCCAAAAAAAAGTATCAAAGGAGTTGACTCTCAGTTAAAGAAATCTTTAAAATTATATATTCATTACTAAAAAAGAAATAATGTATGTAGAAACTTTTTTCTGAAACATCCTAAAGAGAAAATAAATGAAGTTTTTTTGGCACTAATCCTATTACATTAGTATATAGGTACTCAAAAAATGGCCACTTGGCAAACTTCCATATCTATTAAATCTACCCATGTTTGTATTACAAAATGAGCAGCTAATGGACCATTTCACCTTACTATTGACCTATATGGTTTTACAGCAATGTACAAATTATGTTCTCTCAGTTCTTAGCCAAACATTGTTTGCTACGAAAATCTTGTGACATCAGCCTCTGCATCAGGCTCTCCAGCCTCTTCGCGCCGCGACCCGGCCTGAACACCGAATCATCACCAACCACCAAACAAGGATCACCATCTTCCACACTCCCGACACACCAACCCCCTGGCACAAACCGGTTGGCACCGCCACTGCCCAACAGCTCGCGGTCAATCTTGTCCAGAACCGGGTCATCCTTCCGGAACTTTCTGGCGAACGCGGCACTGCTGTTGACCATGGCATTGAAGTCCTTGAGGGTTAGGGAGATGGGGTGCTGTTTGGGAGGGTAGTCCCAAGCAATGTAGTGCAGGTCGTGACCAATCGCGGTGTCGCGAAACTCGTCACTGTTGCAGATGATGGTGTGGAAGTAGCCTTCCGGCGAAGATATGAAATTGGTGTAGTACATGAGAAGTGTCCGCGGGAGGTTGTCCCATCCCCATATGCAGTACTCCAAGAACGACCGCGTCAGTATTACCCACGCTGACCCTGTATGCGGACCCCATGTTTGGTGAAAGAGCTTTTTGAAGGGGTTTTTTTCTTATTCAATAATGAATTAGCTGTTTGACCATGGTCAAAGAGCTGATTTAAAGTTTGGTAATTGTTGAGGATATGATGAAGTGACCATGTTTTACTTTGGATTCTAAAGGAGTTGATAATGAAAAGTAGGGGAACTTACTTAAAAAGCTACTAAAAGAAGCTTATTGAGAAGTCATGACATACCTGTAAACAGCTTAAAAGATGTTGGAAGTGATCGGCGTTGAGAAGTAAAAGCGAGATCAGATTTCTTAGATAGATAAAGACCAGGATCAACAATTATGGGTTTTGCTCTCTGATTCCTGCAATCCATTAATATAATTTACAATGTCATGAATGAACAGGGAAAACCAGAAAACATAATAACAATAATAATAATAATGGTAAATTCTTATATGCACTTAAGGTGCATATAAGAATCAAGGACTTTCTCACATATGTAATGAAATAGTTCAATTAAATATGGATGTCCTAAAAATATTAGAAGGTATATCCATGCATCAACAATTCACATAGAAAGACTTACAGTTTCCACCCATACAGCTGCATGTGTTCAATGAAATTCAAATCTCTGGACAAATTGGAGAAAACATGAAGGATATCTGCAATGATCAGCACTCTTTTCAGCATTTTTCACAACAAAACCACACTATGTAGTTTACCCGTTGTTAACAATATATTACAACAACAAAAAACCCAGCAAACACCCAAAAAAGTAGGGTCTAGAGAGGGGATGTGTACGCAGACCTTACCCCTGCTAGGTAGCAGAGAGGCGGTTTCCAAGAGACTCACGGCTCAAAAACACAAGTACAGACGAAGAAACCAGTAAACAGACATAGAAGGCAAAAGCTAATGTAAATCATCATTCAAGCACAGCATTAATTCAAGTTTAAATAATCTTTTCGGCATACAGCTTTATCTTCATCCAAATTATATAAAAGCAGCATCTCCATTTTCTGTTTGTATTCCATCAGTACTGCTTACAAACCGTGAGCTTATGGAGCATTAAATATCTTTCTCAAACTGCTCAGATAGCAAGTTCTGCAATAGATAATTTTTGAAATCGACCTGAACTTAAAATCTATGTTTGGAACACAGAAAATGGTTGGGGTAGAAAAGAAAAATTTAAATAAGTGGTATCTTTATGTTTGGTTTTAGCTTGGAATAGAGCACTCATTGCCAATGGAGCTAAAAGAGTCGCTATTGACAATGGTTAAGCTTTAGGTAACCAATGAACTAAATCAAAATGGCATATTTACTTACTAAGAAGTTTTTAGAAGTAATTCTTCAGGGGTCTACTAGAAAAAGCCTCTGTTTGTAGACAAGTAATCTTGACCTCCAAACCCCAACAAAGTTGGGATTATAGTGGGTTGTTTTGTTTTTGGTTTGGCTTTATCTTGCAAAATATGAATGTAGACCTTTTAAAAAATTCTTACATATATAAAGATTTCTTAGTCTATACATTTGAAATATTTCTTTAAATACGATAAGTTTAAACATATAATCAGAAAATAGAGCCAAAAAGAAAACACAACTAATGTATTTTAAAATTTTGCATAAACTTAGACTTCTTACTTTTTATATAATGTGAATAACTACAGAGTATATTGGATTTGAGCAAATCTTTTTTTATCCTAAAAATTTGCTCTATCAAGTTTTCTTCTCTATTTTCTTGGTATTTTCTGGTTTCAAACATACCCAAAGAGTAGAAGTAACTTAAGTAATTAATCTTAACATAGATTCATCAATCAATCATATTGCCCAACCACACACAACAAGGTCGAAGCATTATGCAATACATAAAGGATTTCCCTAAAATGAAATAAAAAAGTAGACTCGCTAAATGGTGATAAACAACAATTAAAAACCCACATTGAGATATTTAAGCAGAAACATAGTACATTAAGCTTGAGATACTAACCGTCTTGTGTCATGAGAGGGTAATCAGAAGCACTAAGATTGATAAACCAATCCCAATCCAAACTTTCTTTCAACATAATGGCTATAGCTTGTAGGGTAGTGGCAATCATCGTAGGTCCTTTGTAAGTCACTAAATTAGACTGTTCCATCACTCGGACATTCTTCACTTGATGGAAAGTCGGATCGCTCTTCACTGACATTGTCAAGTTCAACCTTTCACGAGGTGGGGCCTCGAGGTCCATATGCAGTATGTACCGATTTCTCGGGTGATAAACAGCCCTCAAAGTCCTCAACAACCTTTGACTGTCGCCCTTCGTACCCGATATGAGATAAGCAAACCTAGGCGGTTCGGTTTTCGGGCTCACATTCATCATTGCTGACCTCAGCTCTGAGTCAACGAAGTACTCACCAGAGTCTTCTAACTCACTGAGAGATGTACCATCAAGTTCCACCGGTTCCTTGCCATATGACGAAACATACAGCCCGAAAATAATTGCCATAAACAGTGTTAGGGATAAAAGCAAGCTCAGAAAGAATGGAACTTTCCACCTTCGGTCACCGAAAACCCTTGCGGAGTGAACATTGATAGTTTTCCTCATTTTCTTTGTCAGCTTTGAAATGAATTTAGCAGAAAGGGTTATGGTTTAAGCATTGATCTCTCAAAAACACAGACCCGAAGTGAAGCAAGGAGTTTCAGCTATGGAAGCAGAGAAGAGTTTCCCAACATATGAACCACTAAAGAAGGGAAGATGGAAAATCAACAAAATGCACAATTTTGAAAAGAAAAAAAACCCTAAACCAAAATGGATACCAAATCAAACCCAATGCCTAAACAGAAAACATAAATCAATTAAGCTGCGAAAACTTTCCAACAACCAAATCCAATGTCCACAAACAAATTGGCATAAGTAAAGAGTTTTGGTAAAAATGGCAGGAACCGCAAACTAAAAGAATGAATAGGGAGATCAATTAATACAGCATTAAAGAGAGAGATAGAGGGGTTCAAACTAATCAAATAAACTCAAAGGAGAAATGGGTCTGACACAACTTCAAGAATTGATCTTTACATGGAGAAAAAAAGAAAGGAGGTTCAGAAAACATGGATATAACTGTGAAAATTGTGGGTAACAGACATTTAAAAATTCATCTTGAAGAAGAAAATCAGAGTTAATCGGAGTATTTCTTAGTACTCGCGAATCAGAAGAGAGACAAGTGTGTTACAACGAGCGATGAGCATTCTGATCTGAGCTGAACCAGAGCACAAAAGGCCTCGGAAGAGAGAGAGAAAGAGAGAAATTGGCTACACGCTTCCATAAATGGGGGTAATTAAATAAAAAATGAAGTTAAAGAATCACTAAACTACTACCAGTCTACCACTCAACTGCCACTAGACATTTTGTTTAGGAAAAAAGGATGAGCCCATCTGAAATGGGACGGGACGATCACTACGAGTAGATAATTGAATTTTGGTCATAGATTAGTGGTAAAGAGTGAAATTTGTTTATGGTACTTGTAGACTACTTATCTCTAATTTAGTTGTCTGCAGTTGTCATGAATCGAACTTGGGTTTTACCTTCTCGACACTCATTGCTTTATCAACTGCTTAACGCCCACCGAGAGACAGTTTGTTTGGGAATGTGGCTTCTGGGCATTTCCCACTTGGTAAGGTAAAGGAGTAACATTCTCGAGTTCGATTTCGGTCAATTACTAAACATAGAGCCTTATAGGTGTAGGTTCAACTCTTCCCTACCAATTTATGACAAATGTCATATTTCTTCTTTCTAGGTGATTGATTTTGAGGGTTCGTCAGAGATGAAGTTTCTATTAAAGAAAAACCGTGTGATACTAATATTTAATGACTAGGACGGACAATGGACAATGGACATAGTGGATTGGTCGGTTAACCGGCATTTCGATTGAGATTCACTTTGACATTATGACATCTCCAATGCATGGAGTCTTGAAATTTCTTCAAACTTTGTCATATCAATAACTTACTATTTCAAGCTTTTATGTTGATTTCTTAAAAGTTACTACAATTTTAAGAGTTTTTTAGATTTTGCGACATCAGTATCGCACTATCTTTAATTCCAATAACTGTTTTTTTTATTAAATTAAATGTAGAGAAAAGTGTGTTGTTTACCCTCGATTTCTTCAAAAATTGCACGTTTTATCCATGAACATAAAAAATACACCAAATACCCATGAATTCTTTAGAAATTATACGATTTACCCTTGAACATTAAAAAGTGTACCAAGTACCCCTGAACTCTTTCAAAATTGCATCATTTACCCCTAAACATTTAAATAAAGATGAAAAATTTAGGGAAAGGTACTTTGGAGAATTCACAAGGGCGAGATGAATCATACTCGCAATTTTCGTACGTGGAAAGAACACACTCCCTATCTAACATTTTAGGACCAACGTTGCAACATTTAAATTGTTCAGAGGTATTTGGTGCATGCACCTTTTAATGGTTAGAGGTAAATCGTATAAATTTTGGAGAGTTCGAGTCCTTCGAGGGTAAACAGTACACTCTTTAATATTCAGGGATAAAACATGCAATTTTCAAAGAGTTCGAGATAAATGGTACACTTTTCTCATTAAATATATACTCCATTTAGTGATCCTTAAACTCAAAGAACAAAGTTGTTTAGTAGTGCAATCTATAATTAAAAAATTAATATTACATGAATATGTTTTATTGACTTTTCGATTAACCAACCGATTTTTTTTACAAAATTATAACCATATCGTGAATCACAGGTTTTGGTGGGAAAATTAATGTAAAAAAATTAAAATAAAAAATTGGTATTGTTAACCGAAAATTAAAAAACGATGGGTTATTCATCTTGTTAAAATTCCGGTAGGCCTAGAATAATATGTAGAGTGTTGGATAAAATTAATCACTTGCATGTAAAGTTGCATCTCAATCTCTTATAGCTAACATACACAACAGACAGTAGTATCTCAATCTCTTTTAGCCAACTCAACCCAAATCGCGGACATGTAGCTCATTTTGCTAAACCCACGTCCAAACAACCAGGAACAATATAATCGAATTCGAATCGAACCTGTTCCGATACCATGTTAAAATTTCGGTAGGCCGAGAATAATGGTTAGCGTGTTGGGTATAATTAATATAAAATTAGGATTTACGTTCTGACCCAAAAACTTAAACTAATAGGTAAGATTTCACCCTAATATATACGGTGTATATGTTATGTTAGTAGTAGTATTCATTTTTATTTTTCGATGTGAGAAATGTAACACATCTATTTACTTTGGTTCAACATAAAGACAGGAAAAATGAATAGGTAAAAATTGTATATCATTTGGGAGCACACTTCCATTGCATGTATGTTTATGTAGACAAAGAGGCAAAGGGTGTGTCCTCTGAGCCCTTTCTGCGCAAACGCAGGCATGATTTCATTTTTTCATGTCTAGTTTCGTTTCTCTCCCCCAACTGCCCCAAGTATACCCTTTGTCTCATTTTTTTCTACTACAATTATTCTATTTCATTTTTATAAATTCTTTAAATAGTCTCTTATAATATAATGTTGTTTTAAATCACTAATAATTACATACATGATTTTCTATAACTGAGATTTTTATTCTCTTCATAGTTCTCTATAAAAAAGTATTTATTAAATGAGTAATAAATATCCGTCCTATAATGTTCTTCATGTTTTCCTTTATTAGGCTTGACTGATTTCATTTTCAATTCAATTTATTTAATTGTAGGTGTAAAATTAAAAAATAAAATTTATATATTTTAAAACTACATCAAAAATTTTACCAAACAAGTGGTGACAAGACTATATTATTTTATCAAATACCTAATGAAAATAAGTAAAGAAAGTGATTAAAGTTTAACCGTGTGAAAAATAACAGAAAAGAACATTTTAGGACGGAGGGAGTATAATATATTTTGTATTTTTCATCATCCAAACTATGAGAAAATTTTCAAAATAATCTTTCTAAAATTAAATATTTTTCCTGATCACCCATTTGGATAATTACAAAAATAACCTACATTCTAAGGTTATAATTGTAAAACCACGTACATTGTACTTTAAATATTTTATTCAAGATAACAATAGCATAAAACACTTATTGTTTGTAAAAAAGTATTGTCTATCAAACTCGGCACATTGGTTCCTATGACATTGAGAACCAATGTCATGGGATGACCCGGGGGTGCTCCGGTGACCCGTTCGTAAAATTGACGGTTCATACCTCCCCTAATTCCCCCGGTAAACCCCCCCACCCCACCCCGCCCTGACCCAAACACGCCCCTCCACCCCCTTCAATTGCACCCCCCAAGTTAATTTTGACTTTGAAGTCAAAATTTGACTCCAAAGTCAAAATTAACTTGGGGGGTACAATTGAAGGGGGTGGGGGGCGTGTTCGGGTCGGGACGGGGTAGAGGGGTTTATCGGGGGGTTAGGGGAGGTAGGAATCGTCAATTTTACGAACGGGGCACCGAAGCACCCCGGGTCATCAACCAATGTCATGGGAACCCCTCCAAACTCTGACAATGTTATTCATAATGTAACCTATTGTCTATCAAACCCTTAATTAGTTTTACATTGGCATCATCATCCTCTCTGGGCTTATTCTTTGGCCTAATAGCACCGATACTCCTCGTGGTTTGCAAAACAAGCACCAATACCCCTCTGTTTTCAAAACTCATTTCTAAAGTTCCTAGCTTGTGGTTTCAAAATGTTGCACTCGTTTCTCCTCTGATCATTTTCCGGCGAAGAAGGGGGGCATTGGTGTATATTTTTTAAACCATAGGGGGTATCAGTGATGATTTTTATTTTTCACATATTTTTTGTTTTTTCCATTTTCCCAATTTTGTTTCATTTATTAATAAAGGTTTTTTTAAAAATTATTTTTATAGTGTTCTTAAAATTTAAAGTTATTTTTGTTTGAAAAAATTAACATATAATGCATATGTACTTCTTAAATTAACAATTTTTGTTTTTTCTGGAGAAAAGTAATTTTTTTGGGAACTTCAAAAAAATGAGAAATAAAATAAGAAAAAAATTAATGCAAAAATAAAAATGAATATCCTTTTTGGACATCTTAATTCTAAGAACTTTTTCAGGCGTGTCCAATTTTTTTTGTATAAGACTTTTTTTGCGTATTTTAATTTTTTTATTTCGTTTTTCCATATTTTTATTTTTTATTCTTTGATTTGTTTGAACTTTCCAAAAAATTATTCTAAGTAACAAAAAGTGAAAATGTTTAATTTGAGATAGATGTAATGTATGTTATTTTTTTTTTTTTTTATTTTCATTTGAAACACAAAGAATTTGAAACTTTTTGAAACATTATAAAAATTGAAAATATATTTTTAAAAAATCTAGGAAAAGGAAAAAGAGATAGAAAATATTTAAAAAAAAGGGAAGAATAATAAACGAAAATAAGAAATGAGCACGAATGCCCCCTATGGTATAGAAATTATGCGCCAATGCCCCCTCTTCACCGGAAAATGGCCAGAAAATGATCAGAGGGGTGTGGGTGCAACGTTTTTAAACCACGGAAACTTTAGAAATAAGTTTTGAAAAAAGATGGGGTATTGCTGCCAATTTTCCAAACCACATGGGGTACCCGAGCTATTTGGCCCTTATTCTTTTCACCTAATCTTAATGATTTTAATTTGATTGAATTAGAATAAGTTCTGTTATAATCTGAATGTAGTTATATTTAAAATTATTTTTTATATAGTCTATTCTGATCTAACTAATTCCAATAAGAATAAATAATAAGAATAAGTAATAAAAATAAATTGTAGAGAACAATAAGTTATTTATATAGAAAAAATAAGTTCTAATACTCATGTATCACCTAGGGTGTGCGTCGGTCCAAATCCAATCCGGGATCGAATAAAAGACAATTCATGGACCGAGGATCGAACCGAATAAGGTAAGGATTAGCCTTGGACCGGACTAGCAAAATCCATATTAGACTGGGACTGGACCAAACAAAGGCAATTTGTTTATGCTATATAAAAATTTAGTTTTATCTATTTAATTAATTTAGATTGTCCAATTGTCCAAATACATTTACGGAGTACAATTATTAATTTTTAATGCATAAACTCCGCATACACTGTACTAAGCATCAAGCACGATTGTTTTTATTTTTTGCGTACTTTAAATAAAATGTGTCCTCCATCTATCCCTCAAAAAATGCATTTTTAATTTTACATAATTTAACGTGTAATTAAAATCAATATATTTACATTTTCACACTTTTCATATTGAAATCTTTAGATATCATTAGAATTGATATCTTATTATAAATTGAACTATTTAGAAAAGTTATGATGAAAAACAAAATTGTAACATTGAAGATTTTTTTGATCTTAAAGTTAATGCAACATTAAATATTTTGTTTAAGAAAAAAAATTTAAAGTTTATGTTATAAATTAATCGTATTTAGATAGAATATATTTAAAAAATTAACCGGTCAACCGGACAAGACCTGACCAAAGTCCGATTTAAAAAAACGGAGGACCGAGCCTAGTCACCAAATTGTAGAACAAATAAGGGGAAAAAAGTGGCCCTACCAGTTTGGAGTCTCTCCTCATAAGAAGAAATGAGGTTGCATATTTCCATTTTTATCCCTATTCTTTTATAAATTACTTTTCAATTTAATGGCAATGTTGTCATTTTAATAATGAGTGATGTTATGCTTAAAATAATTCTTTTTTAAAACAGATCTTACAACATTTAGATAATTTTTGTGAAGTCTAATGTAAGATTGAAAAATACTTATTCATAAATAATATCGTAAAGTTTTACAAAAATCTAAAATCATTTCATACTTCCTCAAATTGAACAAAAATAATAATGCAATATGTAGATTAAAAAATGTTAAAATATGAGTTGTTTAATTTTATACAAAACAACCTTGGGTTATGTAAAATTTTAGGACTACAATGCATGAGTTAGTAACTTTCAATTTTATGCTTTTTAAAAAAAGAATAATCTAATTGAAAGATATGATTATTATTGTAAGATTAAACTTCTTCTATAACAATAGTCAACCTTTCTTTCATTCTCTCTCCTTTCTTTATCTCTATTCTCTCCTCTCTTTTTCTGTCCCACACCAAACATGCAATACATATAATCACAATAAAAAGCTAAAACCCACAAATGAGATTATGATACTAAAGATCAACTTTCAGTTCAAACCAAAAAAAAAAAGACTGACATATACTGTCTCTACCACCATAACCTAAGCTTCATCAAGGATTAAACTGATAAAAAAACTTCAAAATAATAATATAAAAAAAATAATGGAATAAATCATATATAACTCAAAGTTCTCTGAGCTAAAGGGTCCATCCGCCATAAAATTATAGCGCAGCCATCATCGTCGATTTCGCAGCCTCCCTCTTCATACTTTCCGCTTTTCCGCTTCCACGAAAATAAGCATATACTTGCTACATATTTTCAAGACAGATATATATACAGAAAAGGAATATAAAAAGTAGTAGCATTCATAAAATTGCTACAAAAAGAAATGATAAAGCTTTGGTATGAACCTGAATCACCCATATGCTTATCAATGATTCAATGCAGAAGAATGCAAATCCTATGAGGTAGAATATCTGCAGGTGAAAGCAATAACATATATAATTCTTCTTTTTCTTAAAAAGAAAAAGAACGAAGACCTTTGCACATTAAATTTTTAGGATTGAGCGATTTCTTTTAATAGAAAAGGATATTATTCCACTCACCCCAACCAATGCATTGTCGCTTAGAACTTCAAGCGCAGGTAACATTCCGCTGCATATATGAGGAACATAACAAGAGTGTCACTTATTACTAAATGTTAGAAAGATGGTGTACGTGTTCGTTTGAGCTTATTATGTTTTGATATCATTTTAGGACTTGGGATTCCATACGTGTAAAGGAAACAAAGCAATAATAAACCGTGCAAAATCTCACAAAAAGTAGGGCCCATAAGTAGAGAGGTTGTTTCCAAGAGACCACGCTCAAACATAAAAGCAAAGGGTGAGAGGGAAAAAAGAGGCTTACGTCAAAGATTTCCCTTTAAAGAAGATGGGAGGTGCAACTGCAGCAACAACACAAAACCCGATGTGGATCTTCGGCATAGAATTTGAAACGAAAGTATGGAAAACATAGGGAGAATCAGAACCAATCTCTAAAAAAAGAGTTAACTGATCTTCAAATACAAAGCAGAAATGGAGGGCAAGGTCGAGTAGTGTTCACCGAATAACACAAGAAGAATTGGCCAAACCTCAATGCACTATCAGTCCTGCACACACATATCAAAGAGTTTAGACAACTAAAGATGAATGAGATGCCAAAACCAATCAAGAAAGGCTGCAAATTTGCAACTTTATTACTTGAAAATATATTCATATTCACATATCATTTCATCTTTGCTGGGGAGAGCAAGAGTACCTCATTGCACGATAAAGAGGGCGGTACCAGAAAACAAAGGCTCCCGGGACACCTGATATCAAGTAAATGATGGCAAGAAACCATATTGTCGGACCTAAAATTACCCAAGCTTTAAGTTAGTATATTATACTTGAAGATTTGTGAGCCAATCATTCATTTCTTTAAAAAGAAAGTGAAGTTTGTTTTGGGAGGGACGAGATGAGAAAGGGTGAAGTTTTTTTTGGGACGGAGGCAATATAAAAACAGATCAGAAAAATCAAATTTCAAAGGAAGAGGCAAAATTGGAATTTAAGACCAACCTTCTCCTTTAATCCAAGCTAAGGTCACAGCTATGGTATTCCAGATAAGACAGACTACAAGTCCTGCAAGTCACTGAACTAAAACTGAGAACCTAGTATTCGGTCAATATGGCTTCTTATCTCTCTTTTTTTCCCAAAGAAACCTTAACTATAAAAAATCAATCTTAATAGGAGAATTCAGTACTATGCCAAGTAAAAATACATTCTTGACCTTTGGGAGAGGTTGAGGATTAAGAAAATGAGGAAACGGTGAAAAATGAATGGACATGGGTAGACATACTTACATACCTAACAATGTAGTAAACGCAACGTACTGCAACTTCTGTAGATGGATTGGAATTTCATTTGAGATGTCATGGTGAATTATGGGAAAGAAAGGTGGCCAATTCTTTTCCTCTATTACAACCCCAGCTGCACAATTCAAGATGAGCGATTGTTTCAAACAGAAAACAAAAACAGTAGCATTTAGCATGGGATGTATATTAAAAGGAAAACGAAAATTGAAGTGCCAAGTACCTTTTTTAATGGCATCTTCCCTCCTTTTCAGCTCCTAAATAACACCAATAAACTGACAATTAGCATGAAAAAAGTCAAATTACTAGAAGAGGCCAGATCAAATTGTAGAGGAAAATCAATAAGCAATTTGAATAGAAGGTGTTGTGTTGTACCATCATACCAAAGCAGAGAGCCGAGGAAAAAGAAAAAGAAAAATTCAAAACCATATAATGCATACCTCTTCCTTCTTTTTCAGTTCAGCCTCCCTAGCTAGGAGTTCCTTCTCCTTCTTCTTTAACTCCTAGATCATTTTGGAGAAGCAAAATAGATTATTTCGACCACGAATGCAGTGGAAAAGGAAGAATCGCGCAAAGGAGCATTATATTGTTCTCACCTGGGATGTGTCAAGAGGAATATCAACAGTTGCACTGTGATCATAGTCCACCGGTTCTGGAGGAAGAGGGGAAAGCTTGGAGTTTGATGCCGGCGTGACACTCCCAGAGTTCTTCTTAAATCCATCCAGATTTGACAACAAAATGCAAATCCAGGTTAGCACTATAATCAATTAATTACCCGGAGTATTTAATTATTACTACAATGGGGACAAAAACAACTAAAGGTTATCATCAAATCGGTACCAAGTCAATATAAAAATTTGGGTATCAAGTTAATACAAAAAGGGGTAATACAGCAATGCTAAATCATCCAAAAACATATAAACCAGCATTTTGGGTTACTATGTCGAGCAAGCCCTAACTCCGAGTCTATCCATTTGAACGGCGTAAGACTCCTAAAGTATTCATTTGCATTCCATTTCATCCTAATTAATATTAATATATTCTAATGATTCTTCTACCAATATTAACTACTGATATAATAATCTTGATCCTGAATCCTAATTGTAATATACTCGTGTATAATTATCAATGATCTAACATTATCTTTTATTATGATGGAACCCCAAATCATAATCAGGCTCAAACAAACAATTCAATCCTAATAAGCCTAAGAAATGATTGATACAGCAAAATGAACCAACATATACAGAAAATGCAGATTGTTAAACAAAAAAACAAAAAAAACAAAAAACAAAATCATGAGATTCAAATGCGACCTATGCAATTCAAGCACACACAAAAAAAAATCTTTAGAAATAAAAAAACATCCTAGATAAATACCGCAAATGGGTTGATTTCATCATCGGCGAAGGGATTGTCCTTGTAAACGTCTGACATCAGAATGAAAATAACGGCAGAAAAGATTTCAAAAAACCAATCTTTTTCAAAGAATTCTTTGCAGGAAGAAGAATAGAGAACAAAAGAAGGATCCCAGATTGAAATTTTGACCGATCTGGAGATATGGAAAATATAAAGCGGAGGGGAAAGGAGTGTATCTGAAGGAATCAGAAGGTTGGAACTGTGGTTTCCATTCTTGGATTTGTATCCAATTTTGCTTTCTTTGGAATTAATCTTTTAAAGAAAAAATTTTGTTAATCTTTGAAAGAAATAAATAAAAGAACAAGCAAGCGAGATACGAAGCATGGAGAATTAAGTTAAGCAAACGTTTCCGTTGTGCGGAAAAGAAAGCAGACATTTCCCCGGCTGAAGGCTTTTGTTTGGATAAGTTGGCAGTGCTTTCGCTGTTTATGTTAGCTGATTTGAATGACTGATTGAGTTAGCTGTTTTGACCGGCTGTTTCTGTTAGCAGTTAAATTTTAAGTGTTCGGCAACTTTAGCTGTTTATAGTTAGCTGTTTGTAAATAAAATTACATAAAAGGACATCCCTCCATTTATGGTATATTTTATTTTACAATTTTTTTAAATATCATATCATAAATATTTTTTTTAAATTAAAAAAATTAAATAATATATGTGTGTGTGTGTGTAGACATGATATTTGTTTTTCATTTTTTTACATGTAAAAATTAAATCTTTACTATATGGAATATTAAATTTTAATTTCATTTAATTCATAATAAATTATAAATATAAATTTTTTAATGAATTATAAATAAAAAAAATTTTAATTTCATTTTATTTTTTCGCATTTTATTTTTTTAACTTTTATTTTTATTTTTTACATATATTATAAAATATCTTTCGACAAAAATGATTTTAAAAAAAATATTTTTCCTAACCGCCATGTCCAAATGCTACTCACGTTGGCATTTCAGATTTTTGCTTTTCGGATCAAAATGCCAAGTGAAAAAGCCATTAGCCAAACAATGGTTTTGGCGGTTCGCTTGGTCAAAAAAGCCAAAGTCAGTCAAAGATGCCAAAAGCTATCCCAAATGCTGTTTTCCAAACACGGCCTTAGCAACACTAGGCTTTGGTAGTTAATGAATGTTGCATGGGATTGGGAAAAATATTTTCTTTCCATTTCCCAATTTTAATTTCTTTTTAAACTAACAACTTCCAATTGTGTTGATTTATGTAACTAGAAACATTGAATGTAATGAGCCCAGTAAAATAAAAAAGATCCAACTATGAATTCATTCAAAATATGTGAAAATATTTATATTTTAAATGTGGACTTTAGATCACACTAACATAATTTTTTTCATCTTACATATAAAAAAAGATAAATCAAGTATGGATACAAATAATAGCATGAAAAGATATGAATTGAATATAATAAAAGACTAATCGTAGAAAGTGTAGTCTTTATCTAATAACTTTCACCGTACATTGTAAAATCAAGAGTGAATGATGTGATATATGAAAGCTTACAACTATGTGGTGAATTAAGGGAAATATGAAAGTCTACAACCATGTTGTAAACTTGCCATGATTTGTCTATGTCTATTTCTTAGTATGTGTCTTTAGTGTTTTCTTTGTCTTACTCTGTATATTTATTTTCACACTTTTAGTTAATATAGTTATATATTAAGAAAAATAAATCATATAATGGTGGTGTATTTAAAAGTGAAAAAGAAGGTGGGCCACAAGAGTTTCCTATCAAGATTAGTTAATCCGTCTTTTTGAGATGTCTTTGATCGAGAGGGGAAGTGTTATCCAAGCACAATCTTGTACCTGACATCATTGAAGAATCTTGTTGATTAAGAGTTGAGGCTTTCTAGTAAGATTAGTCTTGTGTGGCAAAATATGCTAGTCTTGTCACACATGAACTGTAACACTAGTTGGCTGTAGAAGGCTATAGAATGAATAAAATACATGAGGAATAGTCCCTAGGCCCCGCCAAATGATGTCATATCTGGAATAACACATGTCAACTAGACCCACTTGATGGTGATAGACGACACATAAATCAAACAAGACATTACTGTATTACAGCGATCGCACATCTACAATAACATTAGAGTGCTATTTTATTGCTATATAAACACAATATTTTCAATTCTTTATATTTTGGTTTAGGGCTTACTTCAATATCATTAGACTCAAGTCAATTGAGTTGAGAATAGTAAGCCTAATTTTGTTGATTTAACCATTATTTTTGGTGTAGTCTATGATAACCATTTGAGTTTTGACTAGTAGTAACTCACCCACTAAAATCACCAAATAAAAAAGTCATCTCTAATTAATGACATAGCCCGCATGAGGAAGGAAGGAAGAAAGGGTGACTTAACACTAGTCTTGATAGCCATATGGATAAGTTCAACACTAATTGTGTCATCTTGAGTGCCTACTTTCGTCCATAGCTATGCTCCCCAAGATTAGATCAACATCAGCCCCAGACAGTTTTCATTGTAGACATTAATAGCCAACTTATTACCGTTTATGTAGTTAATCTTTCCCAGTCCTAGCACGTTTCAAATGATCATGTTTACACTGTTTGAAAAAGCGATGAGAATTAGTTCATGCTGAACATTGACAAAGGCAAAAGCATCAAACTGATAGAATTTCAAAACCCAACATTCAAGCACCTTGACACTGGGGAAAACCGACCATGAAGTCTTGTGTGGCAATCTAGCCTCTATTTGTGCTTTTGACCGCTTCAGCAAAGAGAGAAGGGCAGAAGGTATTTAGTCACGTTTTTCTTAATCTAACGAGAGGAAACCAATCAATACCCATCTATCTCTTAAGAAAGAACAACAAGTGAAACGTCATCTCCGTCGACTGCAGTACATATCTAGCTAACCCAAGAAAATGCCAAGATGGTGACTAATAAAGATGGATGCCAAGTTGGTCGAGATACAGAGGATGGTTGAGAATATGAAGGGAAGATAAGCACAATTTGATTTGTCTTCATTACCGTTCACCCCAAGAATTCAAGAAATTGAACACTAAAGTCACTAAGGCCCCGTTTGGTACACAGAATTCAAATTATGGAATTGAAATCGAAAACTTCAATTCCAATTCTGGTGTTTGGTAGCACAAAAATTATGTGGATTTAGAATTGGTGGTGCAAAAAATGAATTGGATTTGATGAATTCAATTCTATGGAATTGAATCCCATGGAATTTCAATTTCAATTCAATTCCAATTCTATCACCAAACGGACCCTAAGCTTATGTAAAAAGATCCAAATCTTCGTCTAAACTCCTTCCACAAGTGGCCATGATGGTTCGCATTGGCCATTGCATTATGGATACGAAAAATATCTGAAAACACACTCAGTATAGAGTAATTAAGAGTAATGCTAAAAATAACACCATATTTTTTTGATGAGTCAATCATTAGCCACCAGCTTCACAACTCTTTTATTAAAGCTTTAGTACAGCATCAGCAGAGAAGATACAAGCCCAAAATTTTCACTAACCAATGAAATAATACAAAGGGTAAATAAACAGCAAATTCCACCTGTTAACCAATAGGTTAGTGAGCTTATGGATAATGGCCAACCAAACGTCGCCTAAATGAATACATCTACGAGACAAATACAAATGAGATTACACCATTGATAGGTGGAACAAAAAAACAATGTAGACAGACTTTGATTGGGGATTCAGTTACCCACACAACGCCTTGTTTGTTAAGTTCGCCAGAAGTTCTCAACACAATCCCTTTTCTTGGATGTTCTTTCTTTGCCCTCAGTTTTCCAATGTGGTGGCACTACTTTGCGCAGTTAACTCATCGTCGAATTTCTTGGTAGTTTCCCTTCTTATCATCTCTATGATATCTTGCACAACTTCTGACATTTGTGGCCTGAACTCCGGCTCAGGCTGCGTCGATAAAGAGGTAAAATGTGAATTGGGCAACAACTCAAGAAAAACAAGACAGAATGTGAATAAGTCATTTAACATATACCTGAACACATCTGGAAATAATGTCAGCAAAGTGGGATAAAGATTTTACAGGGTATTTCCCATTAAGAGAGGGGTCGAGCATCCTTGTCAAGGAATCGATATCGTGGAGCTTAGGTATTGCCCATCTAACCAAGAATTGCTCTCCACGATTCCGTGACCTGAAAAAAGATTACAACTTTACATAGCTGACCATGAAAATGTTAAGAGTCGTGAGTTGCAAGAGAACTTTTACCTGTCATATGACATCCTGCCTGTCAATAATTCCAACATCACCACCCCAAAGCTATAAACATCACTCTTTAAAGTATAAACCCCAGACTCAAATTCCGGGGCACCATAACCATAGGTTGCAAGAAGTTGTCCCGACAACTGAAAATCATGTGTGGAATATGCACTTTTCATCAAACTTTGCAAACATAAATAAACTCAACCCCTGAAGATATATTTCAACAGATCTTTTTTTCTTTTTGTTTTATTGCTTCAGCGTTTTGATAGTAATATACCTGACTAGCAACCCCTGATGATATCAATGGAGCCAAACCACAATCAGACACATAAACAGAAAGCTCATCATCAAGGAGGATATTTGCAGACTTGAAGTTTCTGTGTACAATTGGGGGCTCACAAACCTCATGCAGATACCTTTGCCATTTTAAAGAAAAGTGTTAGCTTATACACTAACAGTTCAACCACCCCCTCCCCAACTTAACCTTAAAATTGTTTTTATTTATTTTTTTTGTTGGGGTGGGGGGTGGGCTACCAAGGAATCTTGAATATGTGATTACTACTTTATCTTTTATTTAAAGTAACCCCTGACCTATGTCTTAGCCACTTTTGTAGAATGTAATAAATTCCATATAATGGGTTTCAAACCAAGCTGAGGTTTGGATGGATTTTATCTTAATTCGATTAATATGGAGTAACAATTTTCGGGTAATAGTTATTTCCAAGCCCTCCTCAAAAGATGACACTAAATATCAATTAGTATCATACATATGAGGCAAGATTGCAAAAAACCATCGTTAAGATGCGCGTCTCCACCTTTTATTTTGTTATTTGCTATTGAGTATTATACTTGTATAACTGAATTCCTACTAGTAACAAGCAAAAATACTCTTCTCAAGAAAATAGAGCATATTAAATGCAAAAGTTACTAGGTGAAACTAACTCCAATGCTCTTGCTATTCCCAAAGCCATCCTAATGCGCATATTCCATGAAAGCTCTTTCTTGAACTCGTCATCAGAGTGCAATGCATCTTGCAATGTCCCATTACTACAGTACTCATAAACGAGGAGCCTTTGACCATGTTCTGCACAGTATCCCATGAGCTCAACAACATTGGCATGCCGAATCCTATCGATGTTGTTTACCAGATCAAAAAACTCATCTTCCTGCTGACTGCAAACCCTTTTCTCCAGTTTCTTGACAGCGAGTAACTACAAAACCATATTCATGAAATACAAATATGGAAAGTCTTGAGTACTGCAATTAAAAACACATTGGCACAATATAATAATGGAATACAGATCTACACAAGGCAGTAATAGACAGTTTAATAGCATGTTTTTTGTTAACCAGAAGGCAGAAGCCATATACATGTACCTTGCCATCAGGTAGTTCTCCCTTATACACAGCTCCTAGAGTTCCAGTTCCGATAAGGTTATCCGGAGAAAAGCTGTTGGTATATTGCTGAAGAGATGCTATTGTGTATGTTTTTGCAGAGGTAGGTGGGAGTGGCCTGGTTGAGCGCTTCTGTACAGTTTCTTCAGCGCGCTGGATTGGTTGAACGATAACCTTCTCTTCTAGTAGCAGAGGTGGTGGTGGCTGTGGCGGTGGCAACACATCAATATCAAATCTGCTCGAGATAATCTCATGGTTGTCCTTCGGCATAGCACGAATGTTTTCTACAGTTACTGGCCTTTTTGTACGGGGTTCCTCCTTTGGCCTTACTACTTGAGGAGCTGATTGTTGAGAGTGTGAAACAAATTTGAGAAACCATAAATGCAAGCAAGGAAGCAAAGATTTGAATAAAAATCGTAATTTGCAATACCTTTTTCTATATCAGAGCTCAAGGAGCCATTACCCAAAAGGTTCTCTCTGGGTCCTGTTAATGGGGCTATTTCATGCCGTTTGGGAATTCTTTGAATCACGGGTCTTTCCCTAAGGCGTCTGGGTAAACAAAGCAGGATTGCCAATATGAACATTACTATGGACAATGCTACTGCTATTGATATCCAAACCACTCTTTTAGTAGATGACTTTTTTCCCATCTTAGAATTTGATTCCCCAGATGCTGATGGTCCATCAGCCTGCTCTGGAGGTTTCTTATCAGACTTTGGTGGCCATTGCGCAGACGTTGGGCTCCCAGAAAAGAATGGTGGTCCTGACGGAAGTGTCATGGAGGGTGGCGGAAGTAGAGGTGTACTACTACTGTTAAAAGAATTTCCATCCTTTCTGCAATATAAAGGTACTTGGGGCAAATTAGGAAAATGCAAAATCTCAATCCTACTATGGCTGCTCATAAATAGTGCAAAATCTCAATCCTACTATGGCTGCTCATAAATAGTACTATAGATTATGGAGTAGATATTTGGATTACAAATCGGTAGCTACAAAACCTGGAAGAGAACGGATACTTCAGTTTGTAAAAATATTTTTTTAGATCAGTACGAATAAAATTAAATATGAACAACAACAACAAAATTAAATTATATTAAAATAAAATTAAATATGAAATTATTCATAAATAAAGAATTGTTTGCAGTTTACACCGGACGGGCAGCCATAAGACTTCATGTTAAACAGGAATAACGTAATCATATAATGCAAGGAGAAAACTATGGGTCAATTTGCATGAAATCTGTATAGAGATTTAAGGTGGGAGGGTACGATGCATGCAGACATTGACTTTACCCACGAAGGGTCGAGAGGCAAAAAACATACTTATCCTACCAAACACATATATCCCATTTAAACCTGGATTTAAAATGTATGCATATATATAAGTGATTCCACCCTATCAACTTCAAATATTAACAATTTGTTTATGGTCTTGCAACTATAAGAGCTTCTCATGTAATCTGTGTTTAATTTAAATGCAGTGTTATTATATTAGGACTTACTTGAAATTAGGAATCGACAGGAGTTGCTGCGGTATTGGCCCAAAAAACATGTTATTTTCTATATTTCTGAGAGAGGGAGGAGTGGATGTTAGTACTTAGTACAATCCCATCTTACAAAATGCAAATCATGTCTGGTAAAGATAAAGTTCAAAGGAGTACAAATCTCTGAGTCGAAGATCTTGCAAAACATCAAGGGTTCCAGAGATTTGATTGTTCTGCAAATGACTGTTGAACAAGAAGTGGTTAGCTTTACTAACATGCATCAAATGAATTATAATAATAATAATAATACGGCAAGCTGAGTAACTCACAGAGTTGTCAACGCAGACATGTTTCCGATTGATGGCGGCAATGTCCCACTTAAATTGTTGCTAGACAAATCTCTGTTTGTAATTCACCAGTTACTTAATTCAAAGAAGTGGAACCCTAGGTTTGCTTTGAAGAAATGATTTTGTATTTTATAGAAGATTTTGTAATGGTACCGTACAAATTGACCAAATCTGTAAGTCCTTGAAAGACATCAGGGATATCTCCAGTCAATTTGTTCTCATTCAAAGACCTGAAACAAGTTTCAAATTTATACCTAAGCAAAATATAGACCTTTTTATTAATAGAAACAGTACTCAAAAACCCATCGCAAAGAGAATCTTACACAGCTGATAATTGAGTCAGGGAAGACAATGACTCGGGTATACTTCCAGTAAACTGGTTAGCTGAGAGGAAACTGCCAACAAAATCAAAGATCATTCATCATATGCACATAGACCCTCCTCCTCGATCGATTCTTCTTCTAGGTTATATATTCTTAAAGAAAAATAATGGCACTTACAGTGATTGCAAAGTAACCGGTAGAGAGGATGGAATAGAGCCCCCAATGAGGTTATTGCTCAGATCACTGCCACACAACATTCAGTAGTTGTTACACTAGCAAAGGATACAAATAACAACATCGGTTTCTGGCTTACATTGTCTTTATAGATGAAAATGATCCTAACTTATCCCCAAGTTCGCCTCCCAAATTAGCACTGTTGATAGTACTGCATATCATATTACAAGAATTATGAACTAACATCTGAATTTGATCAACGCATTTCAGTAAAAGATGAGATAATAGCAGCAAGTGAAGGTATCATACATTGATTCTATATTTGCATCCATGCAGTTAACACCTTGCCATTCTCCATTGCACGGGTCTCCATTACCCCATCCGGGAAGAGGAGGAGACCCCCAAGCAGTATACAATTCCATAATGGCAGCAACTACACCGTTGTCAAAATTAGAAGTTAGAACCCAGTCTCAATCCAAAAATAATAAATTAATAATAACATTTGGATTATTTTACTGATGACAAATGAATACTGATCATATTCTTCCATGAAAACAAATGATCACTTCATTCCTTCAAAAGAAAATAAATCATTTCAACACCAAGGTCAAACACATGTGTTTTATAATTTAGAATTAGCATGAAAAAAACAAAAAGAACCCATCACAATTTCAATTCTGTTGGGATTTGGGGTCTAGATGTAAGCAACCTTGCCCCTCTAGAAAACAAGTTCAAGCATGTTATGTTATACCCTTATGCATTGCTCATTCACTCTGTATTATCCAAAACTTTGTGTTATTTTTATTTAGCTCAGTATTTACACGAAGCTAACACGTTGTCCAAAATTTACTCAAAGCTAAAACATTGTCAAAACTCAAAATCACCTCAGTTGGCAATGGCTGATCAAATCTAGTATGGAATGAACATATGAGGGAGAAGGGAGCATATTTGAAAGAAGACGAGTAATTAGATTGGGAACTTAATTACAGGAGAAAATCTACATAAAATAGTCAAATAAAGTGCATCAACTGCTTAAACTCAACCAGTAGAGCTGGATGGTTTGCCCAAAATATGCTAATAAAGAAAAATACTGGTAATTCTGTATAATACAAGAAAAATAGTGGGAAGACACCATTGGTAATTACTCATAACAGCAACAGCACAATTAGCGAGTAATCATTAGTAATAATAAACCACACGACCAAAGTTAGGTGATAGATAAAGACAGCGAAGAAGAGCTTTTCTTAGCAACTAAGAAATAATAAATACACTCATAAATTATCATCAGCCCTTGAGCTTTACCATCTCCAGGGTTAGCCCCATAAGAAATCTGTACGGCCAAAATCAAGAGAAAAGCCAAGAAGATCTTCGAAATCAAGCAGACCATAGCAGATCTCTTTCCAAACATGGATCCACAAGAATACCAATTCTTCCTCAATCTATACCCAATACGGATACAAGAAGAAAGGAAAGAGTAAGTCCCCACACTTTGGACTTCGTCAATCTCAAAACTTTACCACATTTTCTGTGTTTCCAAGCAGAAAAAATAAGAATAAAAGCATAAATACGAAATGGGTACCTATGTTTACATTCTAAGAATAGGAATTATGAGGGAATGATGAGAATAAGCAGACAAAAAAAGCAGAGATTTTTAAGTGGGGGAAACGCTAAGCAAGAATTGAAGTGATTAGTGGCCGTATTAGCAGCATAACACGTGGTTTAGTAGTAAAATCTAGAGAGAAGGAGACCCCAACATTAGCTGGAAGCCAGGAAAAGTTGAGAAGAAAAAAGAAAATAAAGGCAAAATGTAAAAAGTTGGGAAGGGGCTCTGAAACTTTTCCTCAATAACAAATGGGGAGCTGTGAATAGTGATAGAGAGAGAGAGAGAAGTCCACTGAGAGTCGTCCATATCCACTTTGAGTCACCCCGCCGCTCGAGGTACGGGAGCTATACCTCACGCGCAGGTAATGCGCGTAAGCACGGATATTTTCTCTCTCGGTGACGGACTAGTGTTTTGGTAATTTGTTTTTAATTACGGAGTACTTTTTTCAGTAAATTGCATAAAAAGTCCCGACTTATAAGTCATTTTATATATTTAGTCCATGCATATTAAAAATTACTAATTTAGTCTCCAATTATTATTTTCATTTCCATGAATGGTCCTTTGTTAACATTTCCGTTAAGAACATGGATAAAATTGTATATTCATACTTTTCTCTGCTCAATTAAGATTCATCTCTCTTCTGGTACTCTTTCCCAAACTCGCCGCTGAGTTTGAAGCTCTAAACCCAAAACTGAAAAGATCATTTCTCTCTGAATTATTAATCTTCCTGGTGGAACCTAAAATACGCTTTATGGATAAGTTTTATCATTTAGTCTCAAGAAATTACAAAGAAAATAAACATTAAAACTCATCCATGAAGGTTACTGGTTTCAAATTTGGGTTCCACCAGTTAGACAAACAATTGAGAGAAGAGTAATGATTTTGGTTTTGGGTTCAAAGCTTCAAACTCAACGACGAGTTTGGAAAAGGAGTGCGAGCGGAGGGAGGAAGCTTAATTGAAGAAAAAAAGGAGTGTGAATGAACAATTTTATCCACACTCTTAACGGAAATGTTAACAGAGGATCATTCGTGGAAATTAATATAATAATTGGGGACTAAATTAGTAATATTTGATAGGTAGGGACTAAATATGTAAAACGACCTATAACTGGTGACCTTTTTATGAAATTTACTCTACTTTTTTTTCTACCAAAACGAATGTTAAACCTCATTACTTCATACATCATGAAATTTTTATTTTATTGATGTGTTTTTATTAAAGAAAATCATCATGCATAGCATTTTAAGTCACTCAATATTACGCATATACTTATAATGTCAATATTTTTCAAGTATACCCTCTGTATTTTTACTATATACTTATAATGTCAATATTTTTCAAACGTACATGTTAAAGAGTATATCCCAAATCGGAAAAGTGTGAGTAAAATAATGGGTATATAAGCTCTTAAGTTGAACTAAGTAATCGATTGGATTCAATCTTTTAATATGGTTCAACCCAAGTGTATTATTACTCAATCCAGTTATCCATACACAATCCTAAATTCTATCATGATATCGGAGCAGGTTTGACCCACCTCGTTTGTCAAGGTATCCGTCTAGACGTTCATTCCTAGCGGCCCGTTTGTCTTTAGCCCAGTGTTCCGTATGAAGTATGTACCCAACGGCCTATGGCCCGTTTAACACGATTGCTCGTCTGGAAGTCCATACCCAGCAGCTCGTGGTCCTTTAGGTGTTGGCGCTAAAAAAAGTCAAGGGAATGGGAGTTTATTTGCAAGTGGTCAACCGGTTAGATTTAAAATGGTCTGGTTGTCCACTTGAGGGGGAGTGTTAAAAAGTATATCCCACATCGGAAAAGTGTGAGTAAAATAATGGGTATATAAATTCTTGAGTTGAACTAAGTAATCGATTGAATTCAATCTTTTAATATGGTTCAACCCAGGTGTATTATTACCCAATCCAGTTGTCCACACCCAATCATAAATTCTATCAATACCGTATGTCTTTTTACTACGGAGTATATTTTACTATTTTTTATTACTTTTAATTATTTGATTAAAGTTTTGATAATAAAAAATTACATTTACCATTGATTTACAAATATAAAAACTCAGCACAAAACAAAAAAACGCCAGTGTTCTCACAGGCCTTTTTTATGTTTTCTGATTTTCTGATTTTTTGTTTTCAAGACGTGAGTATTATAATTCTCCATTGTGATGTGAAGTTTCTAAAGCTGATTCTCTCTAGTCTGTTTTCTTGATACGATGAAAGTAGTGTAGAGTTTGAGCTTTGGATATATCTTCCCAAGAACAGATCCCCCCTCCTTTCCCTCCAACAGAATCTTTAGTATCTGAACAAAGCTGTCTTATATCTCACTTTCTTTGCCTTTGAGTGTTACCCTGACTATGGTTTTATCATTTGATTTTGGGTTATAGTTTGGTCATATCTCGTATTCTGTTTAGGGACACGTTCTTTAGATCTATTAATTGATTTGAATATTTTTTTTTTGGGTATTGATAGTGTTAGCGAGGAGAATTTTAATAAAAATATAGTGAAAGTGTGTACACAACCCTAAAGATCAATCCTTAATTCTATATGCATGAAGTGTGTGTTTTTCTTGTGTTTTATAGATTTTGGTTTGAACTTGGAATTGGTTAATTTACATATACATGATTTCCCATTGATCTAGAGAAGCTATTTAGGCTGTTTACGTGGTCGTTTTGCATTTTTCCATGCTCCATGAAGTTTGTTTTTGACAAAAGACAGCTTGATTGAATTTAAACGAGTGCTTGATTGGATTTGGGTAATTTTTATTCCAAGCAGGTCCTATATATCCTACTTTTTGCACCAGGGCCGGCCCATTAGGAAACAAGAAGCCCAACGATATAAGGGGCCTAATTTTTTTAAATATTGTATATATATTGAAGCCTTGCCCAGCTAAAGCCCAATATTGTATATATATTGAAGCCTTGCCCAGCTAAAGCCCAAAACTCCCTAGTCCTCCTATTTTCGTTCCACAGAAGAAAGCGGAAGTAGCCAACACCCACGAAGGCACGGACGGAAATTGAAAAAGACGCCAGAAGGAAGTCGCCGCCGACCGCCAGACGCCGCCTCGCCGGAAACTCTCCAGCCTCCAGGTCCAGGAGTCCAGGTACGGAGGTAAAAAAATACCAATTTCAGAATTTCTTTAAGAATTTTACAATTTGTTATGTGAAAATCTGAAAATTTTTAATCTTTATAAATTTATGTTATGAATTTGTTATGAATTTTTGTTGTGAATTTGACAATTTATTATATGAATTTGTCATGTGAAAATTTGAAAATCTTTATTTGAAATTTTTGCTAATTGTTATGAATTTGTTGTGAAAATATGAAAATCTATTAATTTAATAATCCGAAGATCTATTTGTGTATTTGATTTCACTAAGATGTGATCAATTAATTTGCTCTAAAAATGCAAGGAGAACTTTACAAATTCTCGGCTAGCTTTTACAGTATATAATTATACTACTATGATTTTGTCATTTACTTATTTTCTTTTAATACTATTGGGTTAATTGTAATTTAAATATAATTAGTTTACATATTTTAATTGTTTAGACCAATAGGGAATTAGGGATAAGACTTCTAAGGCCTTTTCTTCCCCGTTGAAGTCTCAGCCCTGTTTTGCACCACTCTATAGGGCAATTGATCGAGGTTGAGTTTAAAATTTACACCTATTATTTAGTTGAATTAAGTTAACTTACGTTAATTTGAGTCCAGCTTAAAAAATTAGATTATACTCCTTCCATCCCAAATTGTTTACTACATTTCGAAGAACGTGCAAAATATCATCTCTTTTAAAATCATTTTATTTAGAAATTGGTTGAGAAATAAAAAGCAACAATTATACCGCCCAAAAGTACATCAAAAGTTCTACAAAACTCAATGCAACAAGAGTATTTTATTTTATCAAATGGTCAACCAAAACGAGCAAACAAACAAAAGTTATCGAAAGGCCAAAATAGTAACTGTGGCATTCTTTCTGGGACAGAGAGAGTATATAACATTTTAAGGATTACAGAATTGATTTACAAAGTTTATTTGAATAGACTAATTTTTTACTAGGCTAAATCATTTAATTTTCTTGATTAGTTGATTGTAAACTAATTTTAAATTATCAAACGATCATTGCTTTTATAAATAAGTGTTCAAGTACAGTATTTTAACGGAATATCAAGTGAGTGTTCTCGTGAATTATTATGTCTGATTTGTGAAATAAAAACTGTGGTGAATAGTTGATTTATCGTCTAGTAGTTTGTGTTTACTCATTTACTCCGGGGTACTTAGTGCTACATATTATTTGCATTCTATCTTCACCTGATTTTAACACATTTTTTAAGAATAAAAAATGTGTGCAAGTACACTAATAAATGAATAATGACATAAGTTATTTGTTAGCAAAGACAGGACCCTACGAGTTAGTTTTTTTGGGTCTGCCTTTGCAGTGGGTCATCTGCAGAGGCCAAAAAGAGCTAATATTTCTCCAACAATCCTCCATCGTGAGGGATAACTGAAATGATTTCCAGAAAAATGAACTCCCGCTTCACAACCCTCACCTTTCAAATATTCAAATCCACACACTCCCGCCGCCATCAAGCATCTCTATTGTCTATTCATCCCCATCTTCTAAATACCCAATCATTCTCCTCCGCTTCTCCCATCCCTCCTTCCTCCCTGTCTGCTCACCAATACCCCCAAACTTTGGAAGGATTGAGGAGCAGGCTAGCCGCGGAGGCCCCAACGCTTGCTGATTTCACTCGGCTCCAATCAAACAATGAATACTCCGTTGAGGTTGGAACCAAGAAGAAGCCACTCCCGAAGCCCAAGTGGATGAAGGAAGCGATCCCTGGAGGAGAAAAGTACACCCAAATTAAGAAGAAACTGAGGGAGTTGAACCTGCACACTGTTTGCGAAGAGGCTAAATGTCCCAATCTGGGAGAATGCTGGTCCGGTGGGGAAACAGGAACTGCTACTGCAACCATTATGATTCTCGGCGATACTTGTACTCGAGGATGCAGGTAATATTCTTTCTCTATTTTACTGGGTTGTTATTATTGTTGCTGTCATAAGTATATATAGAGTACTTTGTAACAATCTACCCTGACATGGTTATCAAGGCAACAAGTCAAGTCGAGTCAGTGAAGAGGAGACTAGGGGACTAGTTGACTAGTCGGACTACTAGTCATAGACTAATCAAAAAATCATAATTAATATTGTA